GCTGATCTAGAGCATTGGTGTTCTGTCAGTGCTGGAGCTGGACCATGTAAAACAGGAAGAGGCTAAAAGGGGCTGGAGGAGATCAGCAGCATTGAGATATAACAAAGGATGAACAAGCCATGGCAGTATGCACTTCTTTGATGCGATTTACATTGGGCTGTCCTACCCCAATACAGTAAAAACACCGCACATGTAATGTCGTATCACGCATGGATGGGGGCGGCTAAAGTGTATCTAAACCTGAGAACAAAAATATTGTATGTTAGAGGAAGAACACTTCCTGTTCTATGCTCACTCCTCCACTGTATCTATGGAGGGAGTCATGGTTGTCACACAGGTTACTCTTCTGATTTGGATTTCAGATAAGTCTTCCTCTATTCATCTCTTACTTTTTACTTACCTGATCCCGGCTCCCACGGTGGTCAGCGCTCTCCTCCGCTCCTAAGTCTGGAACCAGCATAAGATGTGATGACGTCAATGGTCCTCATTAGGGATGCACCGATACCGGTTCATTATCCGTGTTCCTGACCTGCACGGTGATATCACTAGAAGCCAAACTGAACAATTTCTCCATCACTGCCCTGCAGTCACGGCACCAATCCTTCTCCTGGGCAGACAGAGCGACAAATCCCAAACTACTTCCATAGAGTCCACAGTGTGCTGGACGTTGTAGATTCCGGTCCTCCAGCGACTCTGCCACGGGAACGCTCCCTATAAATACCAGCACCATCAGACGGGGGATTTTGCTGCCACGTCTATTTGGATATTTCTAATGGCGGCTTTCATAAACTTTGATTCACTTTACGTGGGTTTTATATTCCCATACAAGTCTATAGGACTGCAAAACCCACGTGAAGCAGGTCAAATGCTGCTTAGAAGCAGGTCAGCAGGAGGTCACCTGGACATCAGAGGGAGGTCAGCAGGAGGAAGACTAGGTCAATGGGAGGTCAAATGCTGGTCAGCAAGAGGTCAACTGTGGGTCAGCAGAAATCAAACGAGGTCAACAGCTGGAAAACTGCAGGTCAGCAGGAGGTCAACTGCAGGTCAGCAGGAGGTCAACTGCAGGTCAGGTGCTCCTGTCAATGGATTCTGAATGATTTGAGAAGCATCTTCAACTGATGCCATTGTCACAAGCCCAAAGCTTGCCGAAACAGTCCTTAAGACAACGCTCACACCTGTGTGGTGCGTTACTGTTAACATGCGTTGTGTTAGGGCAGCTCATTCATTTTAATGGACTCCCTCCCGTTCTAAAACACACCGGAAAAAGGCACGTGTTCTTAAAGTCATAATCCATTTTTGTGCACGTGTTGGCAAGGTGCTGATATAGGGGAAACCTAATTGGGTCCAAACCTTATAATTGTCTAATATGAATGTAAACTTCTTACTGGTATATTGTCCAACCTCAAAGTCCGAGATGTGTGGTGAACTCATTGAAAATGTTCTATGTAGGTCTCCCCTCGGTGTACATCCCTGGACTCCATGGAATAGGAATGAAGACAAAATCTGTTTAATAACTACATAAAGGCTGATAACCCCCCAAAAACATTGAAGACAACCCCTCTAGTTTCCTGCCATCTGTATCCTAACGCAGGACACCGCCGCCATTATACTGAATGCTCAGCTACATCATGATAGACGAAACCAATCTCTGATTACGTCTGTCATGCTATAAGAAGCTTGGCGGGCTGTTCTTTGTGCGCATTCTATTCATGTTCATGCATGGTAATGTAACAATGTCTCTGCAAAGGTGTCCCCTCCCCCGACCCCCCTTATACTCACCTTACCTGTGGTACTGGCGGCACTACCTGGTGCTTCATGGTATATAGGAGCATGTGACCTGCACTACTGTGGCAGTGCTCGGGTTTATCCACCAATTGCAAAATGAACTAGGAATCTATTGGATGGAAAATATTAATAAACAATTCCCAATTCACCCTGCAAATCTCTTTTAAAGTTCATTATGTGCAAATGGAGGCATAATGGACATTCTTACCGGGTTATTCACAAAAGGTGAAGAGTTTGGAGAAGGCCGGAGAAGTGAACAATCTAGGACAACATCGCTGCACTAGAAAGTGAGCTGAATTGGAGAATGTTTAGTGTATATGTTTTGTTGAACCTTTTTGTTCATATATATTGTGTTGACTATTATTGTTATAGTCAACTATTTATTCAATGATATATATTAGTATGCATTTTTACTCATTTTGGTTCCTTGGGGAGGTTATATAGCGCTGCACAATATTTTTTAAGATTTCAGTGAGGTTTCCTTAGCCTTTGTCTGGCGGCTTATAACCGTTGATCCTTTTAGTTCACTTATCTCCTAATAGCGCAGATTTATTTATTCTATAATTCACTATAAATATGAAACCTCCCTTTGCAATCCGTCTCAATATCAGCAGCTGCTGGATGTGGTTGTGCAAACCGGTCCAGTGGGACTGAGATCTGGGACTGCGCACACCTTTACAGATGAGTCAGTGACAGGATGATGATTTGCATATTGTTTACCTTACGTCTTATAAGGAGTCATTCACATGGGGCGAGCACATCCCTACAGAGACCCGCTGGTGTTGTGTGTAGTTGCATGCAGCTGCCTATACAACCCTATGGGAGGACACGGATGCATGCCAATCTGAATCTGCACATTCGTGTGGGTCCGTGTCCCCGCATTTGGATGCAGACAGTGTTCATCCAAGTGCGGGCACACAGACCTACACGGATGTACTAATTCAGGTCGGTGTGCAGCCACATGCTCCTATAGGGATGTACAAGTGGCTGCACGCAATTACACGGGAGCAGGTCTCTGCTGGGGTGTGCACACCATACTGTGCGGGGAGAGACAGGACCGGATTTCCCACAAGGCCACGGGTCCCGGCCTTGGGGCAGGAGGGGTGTGGGATTCCTATCGCCCCAGTTTCTTTCTACATTTAGCCCTGCTTTGGGCAAGCAGAGCCAAATGTAGAGCAGTGAAGCCTCCGCTTGTTTTGTACCAGTGATCCCGGCGATGTCACTGAGATCACTTGTATGCAGCCTGCAGGTTCGTTCCCCATCTGCGGTTTCCTCTGTCCCCACTGGCCGGCTCCTTCCCCACCGTGGTTTTCGGGGTCCCCGCTCTTCTGAGGGGCCCGGGACCATGGCACATTCGTTCAGGATGGAGAGCAGGGATCAGTCTTGCCGCCTCAGCTGGCACAGGAGTTCTGTGCTAGAACTCCTGTATTGGAGGTGGCAGGGTCAATAAAGAGAACCTGTCATCTCCAAATGCTATCACACAGGGGATTGTTAGTTCCTCTGTGATAGGAAAAAAATTAAGGAAAAAAAAAGAAATTTAGATTGATAAAAAGTAGAAAATAATAGAAATGATAAAAAAAGATAAGATAAAAAAAATATTTTTTTAAAAAGAAAAAATTTAAGTAAAACCATCTTTGCCGCCCCCGCCATCTGGTTGCCATTCTCCATTGGGGGGCGCATTCAGGAACCTGGCCTTGGGGCAGCAGGGAGAGTAAATCCAGTCCTGGGTGTTACAATGTTAAATATTAGAATGTATCGGTTTATTTGGGGTCGCGGCTCTGGCAGATCATCCGCGGAATAGCAGCTCGGAGTGGAATTCCCCGACACATGAAATGCCCCCTAACATTTCATACATGCCCCAAGGGCTTTATTGTGATGAGACCCGCCCCCTTCTGATAAGACCCGCCTATCAATGCTGTGGATGGTACAGAATGCTGCATTGCTACTGCCTGTAACCGGGTGAAGACAGTCTGCGTCAGGAAAAAGCTAAACAAATGGCAAACGCACTCATCAATTCATTACCAGCTTTACAGCAAGGTGCACAAGGACAACAGCAAAAAGTTTCCCGGCACACTCACCAGCCAGCATGCAAAAAACTTGTCTCACCGCTAAGGTTAAAAACAGAGGTTTGGATACACATCTTCTGCAGAAAATCTGAAAGCCGCACTGCCGCGCCAAGGCACCTCTATATAGTGCGGTCATAGCTCTAAACTATGAGAGTCTCCATCTTGGAGCACATGGGGCAAAAGATAAAATTGGGTGCAGGTTTGACAGGAGGCAGCCCAACCCCCCTTAAAGGCACAGGGACGCACAAGGGATCACAACGGCAGCTGAAACCCCCCATGCATCACTGCACCAAATCAGTCTGCGTCCAGGGGCACACATCCCTACCGGTGCAGGTTTGGGTCGGCCATCACAGTTCCGCATGGACGTGCATGCTGCGCGGCCCGAGCTTCTTCTGCAATAAAATAAATTTACCTCCCTAATGACAAAACAGTTATTACTTTTCCTTTATTCTGACTCAAATCACAACCACAGAGGGCGGAGGAGAGGTCTAGTGCAGGGGTAACCTTGGCAACTACACATCCCATAATGCCTCAGGCGTCATGCCCCGTGGCTGGCACAGTCTTGCAATGCCTCATGGGATTTGTAGTTCCACAACAGCTGGAGGGCTGAGAATGCCTAGCCCTGGTCTATAGGTATATAATACCTTCTTTATACATTTCTATGCATCAGGCTGCAAAGAGGGACAACGGAGGAAGGATCCGATCCCAAATAAAAGACCACTGGGGTACTGCTGTCCAGCCACCTGTCTGCTTGTCACTGACCCCGAAGAAGCATGCACACAGTGAAGTCAGCATGAGTGGAAACTCCTGATCAGAAGCCAGAGGATCGGTATGACAGGCGGTTCGCAGCGCTCTCTGATTGGAGCTTCAGACACAACAGTAACTGGGGGAAAGGTGACAGGGGGAGAGGCACATGACTAGAGGGAGGAGCGGTACTGGAGGAACAGCCAATCAGAAGTTGGAGAAGTACAAAACCTGCCCGAAAAAAAAAGTAGGGGGCGGGAGATGTGAAATGGGGGAGGAGCTGTGCGCTGGCTAGTCTGAACATAGAACGAGCTGAGCTTTGAATGGGAGGATCGGAGTTGGTATAGGGGAGGAGTTGTGTTCTAATGTGGGAGGGGCCGTGTTCTGGCTGGGCGAGGATGGGAGGAGCTGACTCTGATAATGAGGCTGTGAAGGAGAACAGGCCGAGTGAGGCGTGACCTTATCCGGTGACAGCTGTACGGACTACA